GAAATCATGCCTATCTTTTGAGCAAAATGATAATAGGTGGGTATACATCAAATTATAGTTGTTCCTTACAAACTGCAAGAAATAGACACAAGTTTACAAATAAACTCTCAGCTTAATGTATCGGCCATGTTTTGTAATTATCATGCTAACATAAATGCAGATTTACGATATCACTCGTTTTAGAAAACCGTGTTCAGTAGCAGATCCGTACGAGTTATGTCCCTTCAAAAGTTTATTATACAAGGGAAATCACTCCTGTGATATTAGAGAGAAATCCCAAGTCACAACTCAACAGTAAAACACTACCTAAGACACTATATATTCCTCCCTTCAACTAAAATCAGGTATGTGTCCTTGGAAAGCTGTAGTATTTTGTGTTCTTATCGACATTTTCCCGTAGATATGTAACATAAATAGCATTACTTACACATATATGAACACGGTAAACAAATTATTCAACGACTCTTGATTTGTCAGATCAAATTAAAAAAAAACTTTGACCTAAATAAGTAATGGTTCATGACTTTTATTAAAATTTACCAGTAATCATAGTTCACCAGTCATTTATCCTATTTTACCAGACTGTAATCCCATTTTACCAGACTGTAATCCTATTTTACCAGACTGTAATCCCATTTTACCAGACTGTAATCCTATTTTACCAGACTGTAATCCTATTTTACCAGACTGTAATCCCATTTTACCAGACTGTAATCCTATTTTACCAGACTGTAATCCTATTTTACCAGACTGTAATCCTATTTTACCAGACTGTAATCCTATTTTACCAGACTGTAATCCCATTTTACCAGACTGTAATCCTATTTTACCAGACTGTAATCCTATTTTACCAGACTGTAATCCCATTTTACCAGACTGTAATCCTATTTTACCAGACTGTAATCCTATTTTACCAGACTGTAATCCTATTTTACCAGACTGTAATCCCATTTTACCAGACTGTAATCCTATTTTACCAGACTGTAATCCTATTTTACCAGACTGTAATCCCATTTTACCAGACTGTAATCCTATTTTACCAGACTGTAATCCCATTTTACCAGACTGTAATCCTATTTTACCAGACTGTAATCCCATTTTACCAGACTGTAATCCTATTTTACCAGACTGTAATCCCATTTTACCAGACTGTAATCCCATTTTACCAGACTGTAATCCCATTTTACCAGACTGTAATCCTATTTTACCAGACTTCTGGTATCCAATTCTCATTATATTTTGGAAATGAATGCGCGTATATATAAAAATCATCGAGTGTATTTGTATTGTTGTTTTGAACTTATGACAACTGAACCAAAAATGATACCAACAAAACTCCATTGTTATAATGACATAATGACACTAATTTTCTGCTTATAAAGACCTATTACGTCATAATGTACATTCAATCATTCTATTAATTTGTATGAGTTAATGTATTTTTTTTTTTGGCATTTCGTAAAACAGGAATTTTATTTGCCAAAGTACGTTAATTGTACAAATATTTTCACAATAATCCATGCATGATAAAAAGATGGTTTGTACATTACAGATGTGTTACACTACTCACTATACTGCTTATCAGTGTACTATAGAATCGTACTTTATATACCAATAATACTTATATAACCAAAACAACAATTTATACTGTATGTAATTAATTAAATATTCTCTCAGATGAATCAACAGTAATGTACGTAGTTATGTGTGTTATCATACAAAGCAAAATTAATATCATTATATATGGTTATGTGTTTTATCATACAAAGAAAATTAATAGTACTGTATGTAGTTATGTGTGTTATCATACAAAGAAAATTAATTTTACAATATGAAGTTAGGTGTGTCAACACACAAAAAAATAATATCACTATATATAGTTATATGTGTTATCATACAAAGACAATTAATTACACTCGAGGCATTATGTAATTAAAATCATTAATGATTCCGTGTGTAGTAATACCTTGTGTAGTTAACCGTGTATTATAGAATTAAAGTGTGTGCAGCTGGACTACATACATCGTTATTAAATAATCTTCTGTTATTATACATGTGTATAACTAATGTGTCACCAGAAGTGATTTAAACAAAGACTATATACAAGTGATGAAACATCTCTTGTTCCAGTCCCAAACTGACAAATATTGTGACGGTAGGAAAAAAAAAGACAAATATTACCAAAACCCTGTCTAGATATAAACATCATATAAGCAATCTGACACGCTTAATTATTACGGGAATTCTGGGATGTTTAGCCATAACATCAGACACAAACCTTGATTAAGAAAAAATCCATTACACCCATGTCCGTCCCCGTGATACGTTTCCTTTGCACGGTTTTAATACGTCCAATTAGTTTTAATAAAATAATGAACGTGTGTTCACATTGGAGCTGGCTGCATGTCATGCATACATGTACGCGTATGAAAACGTGGGCGGTAAGATTACAGATCTGCCAATAAAATGGCGCGTGGTCGGCTCTGTTGGAACACTCCTTCAAATTTCCGTTTTCACCACAAGAATGTCAGCTCATTTGAATTTATAGATAAGTTGGTCTGGTTTTGTTAAATGTTTCATTTTCTATGGCGTGATTGCTTATCGGTCGCGATCAGGAGAATCATTTCATACCTGTTGACCCTAACAAAGTTCGAAGCAGAAATACAACGAGATAGAAGATGGAATGATATATATATATATAATATTCATATATCCATTGCCCTTTGAAGTGAGAATGCGGGATTTCAACCCAAAACGACTTTGTAAAAAATAATGTTCAAGACGACATGTCGTTATTTAGCAGTAAAAACCATTTTAAAAAGAGACTCCCCTATCTCATCACCGTGAGGGAATGCTTTGGATATAATTTCCTATTTCAGCGTATTGTTTCGAACCCGTTTCGAACAACCATACCTTTTCGCGCTCGATTTCGAAATCGAAACTCTCTCGCTAATTAGGTGTTTTGTTTTGGTTGGTTACATCTCCGTGACTCTTCCTTTCGATATTTAAGCGTTGTCGCTTAGGTGGATTGCAAATACCGTGTCGTTATGTCATGGTTGGCTGACGCAACCGGTACTGCACATGTAACGCACACGCCTTCCGCCTAATTAGGAAGGTAGGAACGCCAGACCACGTGGGTAAACATTGTTACCAACCTTTGCCATCTAATTGGCCATAGCCTTTCAAAACCAAGAGTTACGTGACAATGAAAATGGCCATGAAGGAAAAGGGCCGCTTAATCATTTCTATATATTCTGTTGGCCATATTGTAATGTTCTATGCCATGTGACTGATATTGGATTTTTTAAATACTGAACAAAGATGAAGGAATATCAGGTGATTCTAGAGTTTTCCGTGATTTGAACTGGTCATGATATGGTTGATATCAGTGTGACCTTACAAAGTTAGGTAATTTGGAGATACTGGATCAACCCACGGTAACCATGGTTTTGCCTCGCATTGAAATCATATACGTACATGTTGGCTTATAGAATGGATATAGTGACAGAACTGGTCACACTAGTATGATGTAGACAAAGCTGGTCACACTAGTATGATGTAGACAAAGCTGGTCACACTAGTATGATGTAGACAAAGATTACATCGTATTATATAGTGACAGAACTGGTCACACTAGTATGATGTAGACAAAGCTGGTCACACTAGTATGATGTAGACAAAGCTGGTCACACTAGTATGATGTAGACAAAGCTGGTCACACTAGTATGATGTAGACAAAGCTGGTCACACTAGTATGATGCAGACAAAGATTCCATCGTATTATCGTAAGTGAAGTCATTAGTGGAGTTTGGTGAGAACCTGTATCACAATTGCAACTACACAGTGAAATATGGTTCTCCGTAGACGTATGACACAAAATATATTTTACGTCCTGGGTTTTTCGATCGTTCAGAAATTCGAAACCGGGACAGTGAAATTTATTTATTAAAATGTGTACAATGTATATGTTTTCGACAACAGTTGCCGACAGGGGAGGTGTGGTGTTGTAAATGTATTGTTTAATGTGCCCGTACATGCGTGCGTTCGTGAGTGAGTGAGCGCGTGCAAAACTTGTGTAAGATGTCACACCAACCCTATACAAATTTAGGTTTGATTCCCACCATTACACCGCACCATCGTATCCTCCTGATTAGGTTTTAGTGGCTAGCGGTCAAGGTTAGTGACATCGTCGGCCCTGGTCCGCTACCCTTGAATTATAACTCCATAGTAATTTAAACTACACTATAACATTACATCACCAAGATAAGCATCTAAACTCCTCATTCAGGGAGTAGGCGTATATCATTATAACCTAAAATTAATATCTGACGATCTAATCCCTTAACCTGAATTCTGTGTGGTTCATCTTACCCATACAAGGAAACCATAATAATGTGCCCACGCTGGGTTTGAACAGGATGAAAACCAGTCGAGATATAAAAATAAAAGTTTCTTTCAGAAAATCCTTCCTGGTATTGATAACATAAAAACTTATCAGATATCCAATGATGACCTTACGTTGAAACTTAAAGAGATGTTTAACGTAAACAACGACGAAGCCATGATGACAGGGTGGGTGATAAACTGGTTACACAATGGTACGAATTTAAAAGCATACTATTATCAGGAACGTATTATCATATCTTTTTTAATATGTTAACTTCCTGACTTGGTATCTTCTGTCTAGAAACCGGTTACCATTCATTTTACTATGGATGGGTTTCTATATATACGTTATAAGTAAAAAAATGATATATAGTTGTAGCAAGCAGATTCCGGCATTTTATCCGGCACTAGATATTAGGATCGCCTTTCCGGAAGCAAGTTTCGTTTGACTCACAGCGAGAGGAAAAGTAAAACCAGTCAGCTAACTTCGGCTAAATCATATATTATATTTAGGTAAGTTTGTAAGTTCTTCATCGTTAGGGAAGCATCTGTGATTATCTGCCACAGCTAGAGACTGCCAACATCACTGTCTGCGGCCTAACGCGAACGCACACATACATCTCGGGCAGCGGGCACTGTAGTATATTGAGCTCCGTGAACCATCGATCGGTGTGTTGCGTATACGTTCCTGCAGTCAACTGTAGCGAACAGAGTTGAAAGGGCGCAGGTCGGACACCAATTTTATTGGAATTAACAGCTTCTGTTATTTTTCAGGACAGCCTAACCATGTTTGGATTTAAAAGTGGTGGTACTAGGACCGTCACGACAAGCTATTCCTCTGGAGGAGGTCCTGTGCAAACCACGACCAAAACCTTCAGGTATGAAGGGGACGGTCCCGGAATGGATATTAGCTCAGGTGAAAATGGTGGAACCAACATTGACATCGGGTTCGGCAACAGGTTCGGGGGAATGGCGAATTACAAATTTAACATTGGAGGAGGAAGAGATGGCAGAAGTGCTTCCCAAAGGCCTAACGTTTGCGGCAGGGCCACACGTAAGGAGAAGAAAAATCCATTCGCTGGTGTCCTGAACCAGAGTTATGATCAAATTAAGGCCAAATGTTTAGCTGAGGGCATTCTTTTTGAGGATCCCGAGTTTGAGGCATCTGACAGCTCTATTTTCTTCAGTAAAACTCCAAGCCGACCATTTGAATGGAAACGTCCATCGGTGAGTACCCCAATAGAGCCCCGGCCCACCATCTATGGAATGTTTCCAATAACTAACTTCCAATACCTTTAGTAGAAGTATTCTTGGGGACATAGCATTTATTTTTCCTTCGGTAAAATAGTCATCTTATTCACAAGTAAGTTAGCTATAAAATTTAAATATTTAGTTGAGAATGTGTACTTGTTTAAATGTATATAGTCTCTGTTTATCCTGTTATTGCAAAGCTTGCATTGTTTCTTAGGGTGGGGTCATCTTGCATGCTGGCGTGAATATGACTTCAACAATTTACTGGATATAGCTACTACTAAACAGATTATTGTAGTCAGCACTGCATTGTGATATCTTACAATCTTCAGTTTTCTTCGTTTCAATGCATATCACCAAGGACATTTTTTGTTACCTGTAGTTAAATAACTAGGAAAGCCACAAATCTCCCCAAGGCCTGCTTGTCCACAAGTAATCATAACACTCATGTGGGGTCACGGTAGATTGATTTTATGTTACCTATGTATACTACATGTACACAGGTAAAGTTTTCACCTATGGATGTTTACCAACCCAGCAGGAGGGCACCTGTCTTGACCTGTATATGTTAAGTTTTTCATAGATGTCTTGACATGGTTCAATAATTCTGTCTTTCTCTCTTTTGACAACACTTCCATTGAGTTGATATGAAATGTATAGTTGCAGTCAGCCTTGGACCTGTTGTAAATCTGTTAATATGACAGACATGTACGCTATGCTGTATGAATACTCAAACATTCTCAACACATCATATATTTTACAGGATATGAAATCTTATAATTTATTCCTTGTCTTGCTTATAGTTTACAATTAGAGGTGTATATGTTTTGTTGTGCTGTATGTCTTTGCCAGCAGAAATAAAAAGGATAGCTTAATGTTTGCATTTGCGACGTGTATACTCGCATCTGAAATGTACCTTTTTTGCTTTGAATGCTGAGTCATCCACATAATTTGGTTAAATCTTTGTCATCTTTTCTTGACTATGTATTAGATATGATCGTCTCAAAATAACACCAGCTGATATTGAATATATAGATCAGCTGTATTGTTATAGGATTCATTTTACATGTAAATGTATTATTCAATGCAAAACTAAATTCAGCTGTAACATAAACCTGAGGTAACAGACATATCTTTCATACCAAAAATAAATCCAGTGCAAGCTTCAGCTGGAGAATTTCTTTTCATTTGTATTTTAATACACACGTAAGTAATTAAAAAGTTGTTGATAGACAACAAAGAAACTTATTCTACACAGATAGTAATACAAATCTTTGCGCAAGTCCAGAGTCTGGTACTCATTGAATTTTGATGGCATTCCTTGACTTTCTGTATACCTATATGTACAGTGTTGCTTTCAGCATAGTTATTATGCTTAGACAGGAAGTAGACTATAGATCATATCCAGTTTAATGTTTTGATCCAATGTGAAGTGGATTACTCGGATGTGAGATTACAATTCTCATTAAAAGTTCAGTTGCACAAAAAGCAGTCTTGTATGAGAGATAAATTGATGAAATTTTTAGATGATACTGTACTTTTGTCTGTTGCAACATTACACACAATTATCACATTGGCTATATACCTTGCTTGCATGTTACCATTCCTTGTTTCATTACACCAGTAAAGTGATGGGTCGTTTGAAGCTAGGAGGTAGTTAACAGTGGAGTTTCCTTGGTAATCAAGTGTTGGCATGTGAGATAAGAAAATCTGCCCAGCATTAGATGGGCTGTATCCAAACTGTACTCGTTTGGCCTCTGACCCGCTTCACAGATCTATCTGTACATGTAGATATATACAGGCTATTTTCAGGAAATCAAAGAAATCAAAGAAATCAAAGTGTCACTCATGAAAGTATTAAACACTTAATAATGTGATAAAATATGGAACAATTTCTGGTCACATTCCTCACTTTTTCCCTGTCAGAAATTTAACAAGTGGATTATTGTGATTTTTTGTAAAAAACCACTTACCAAATGGAATCCTTTACATCATTATACTGGAATGTATGCATCAACAGTAAGGAAACACATCGATGATAGGGGTAGTTTAAAGTACAAAAGAATTGATGTAGATAAAGTTAGTGTTATGTTAGTTATGTTGTGTGCTTCAGAAACCATTAATGCTTATTTAGTAATATTGAATGTCAATGTTCAAGGTCACTTTGTTGTTGTTACATCTTCCATGACCTAAATAATATCCTTTTGTAGTCTACTACTATCCAGTGACTTATTTACTAAATGAGATGTGATAAATCTGATGACACACTACCTAGTGTATCATACTCAAACATATCTTTTCAAGACAAAAGGATTGATCATACTTTCTGTATTCACGGATGCTATTAAGCTTATATAACCTACATGAACCTGTGGAGAAAAGTTCTTGTCACAAGGTCACTTTTTCTTGGTTACAATGACTTCCTATATACTTGTTTTTGTAATAGATTAACAGCCGATCACTTAGTGTACCTGTCTTTACAACCAATATCTCCCGTATTTCATGCTGATATTTAAGCAAACATCTGGTCCTATTCTCATTGGAGATCAGTCGTATTTCTTCCCCGAATTCTCTTTAAAATAAGATAATATGACGTAATGTCTGAGGTAACATGATTACTGTACAGTTACTTTATACCAGGTATGTTAAAAAATAATTCTGTTCAGAACAAACAAATCAGAAGTGTGTGACCTAGTGATGTGATATGATGGAGAAAGGGTTGTATTTCCTGAAAAATATTTGTCAGTAACCAGCACGGTAGACAAAAGGAAAATACACTGTGAAACCTGTATTCAGGAGTTACACATCTTTCTTGCTTTATTTATTTATTTATTTTAAGAGGCCTTAATTGTTCCAACTAAGGATCCTCCTGAAACCTGAATTAGGAGAATTACAACATACATATGTCCTAATTGAATGGTGGTGGTTAAGAGAAATTTTCAACCTTTGATTTACAAATTGAGAAAACATCCTCTAGATTACAGTTCATTTCTAAATATGTGTACATTTTATTTTCTTGAATATAAGATGATAGTCATGACATTCTTTATAGATTTTCTGAATTCATGTTTATATATTGGGATAAACTTTGTAGTTTCTTCTGATGTCATGAAGGAGATTCAAGCCCTTAACATGATTGCTCACCACTTTAACTCAAGCCCAACCTAACAATGAATACTGTTGTTTAACCCTTGGGTTTAGTCAGTAGGGCCACCACTGTAGGGTACAAGGTCATACACAAGGTGAAGTTTCTGTCTACATTACTCATCCTTATTGGAGTGTCAACACCTCTAGGAACCACCAATCTCTAGGATACAAGGTCATTATTACAATAAGTTAAGTTTCTGTCTACATTACTCATCCTTATTGGACTGTCTACACCCTAGGAACCACCAATCTCTAGGATACAAGGTCATTATTACAATAAGTTAAGTTTCTGTCTACATTACTCATCCTTATTGGACTGTCTACACCCTAGGAACCACCAATCTCTAGGATACAAGGTCATTATTACAATAAGTTAAGTTTCTGTCTACATTACTCATCCTTATTGGAGTGTCAACACCTCTAGGAACCTCCAATCTCTAGGATACAAGGTCATTATTACAATAAGTTAAGTTTCTGTCTACATTACTCATCCTTATTGGACTGTCTACACCCTAGGAACCTCCAATCTCTAGGATACAAGGTCATTATTACAATAAATTTTACAAAGTTAAAGTTACAATTATTGAATTTTTTTCCCACTATTGCTCATCATTACTGGACTGGCACAATGACTATATGTTTGTAGTCATGTCCTCTTAAATCATAAAATATTTTAAAACTGTTCTAGTAAGAGTGTAATGGAACATTTAAATTCACTTGCCATGTTAAGACTCTAAAAAGCAGGGAGTGACCATGTGCCTTGACAACAAGGCTATTTGTGTAGATTTTTCTGTGACTTTCACACTACATATCTTGTATAAGACAGCTTGGTAATCATGACACTGATAAGTCAGTAAACACTCACTAAAACATTCGGCTTTAATCTAAATCCTATCAGTTTTTGTCCCTATTGTAATGGTGTGGTCAGGAAGTTCATCTAAATTATGTAAACTATTTGTCAGAAAATTTGTTCTCAACTCTCCTTTTGTTTTCAAGGTCTCCCTGAATATTAAGACCAAACATATAAAAGAATACTAGTAATGCATACCAATTATAAAATGAATGTAGACTATTATGTCTGTCATCTGTCATTATTATTAATGTTATTTACTTTAGAAAGGCTCAGTACAAAGACGAAGAAATTACTCTATATTGCTCCCTTACAGGTAGCTTATGGGCGTAACAGTAGTTATGTCAGGTGACAAAGGGGATTTTTGTATTTTCTTCCTTTTTTAAAGATCTTTCTTTTAAGTGTCTCTTTTGACACTGCCTCTTTTTTGAGCTATAATTGAGCTATTTGCTCTAGCGAGAGAGGCTTCAGATTTTGTCCCATGGCAGAGGCATATACCTAAGTCTAGTGAGGAAGGCTGAGGATTCTGTACCTGGCTGACACATATACCTGAGTCTAGTGAGGAAGGCTGAGGATTCTGTACCTGGCTGAGACATATACCTGAGTCTAGTGAGGAAGGCTGAGGGTTCTGTCCTTGGCTGAGACATATACCTGAGTCTGGTGAGGAAGGCTGAGGGTTCTGTCCCTGGCTGACACATATACCTGAGTCTGGTGAGGAAGGCTGAGGGTTCTTTCCTTGGCTGAGACATATACCTGAGTCTAGTGAGGAAGGCTGAGGATTCTGTCCCTGGCTGAGACATATACCTGAGTCTAGTGAGGAAGGCTGAGGATTCTGTCCCTGGCTGAGACATATACCTGAGTCTGGTGAGGAAGGCTGAGGGTTCTGTCCTTGGCTGAGACATATACCTGAGTCTAGTGAGGAAGGCTGAGGATTCTGTCCTTGGCTGAGACATATACCAGAGTCTTGTGAGGAAGGCTG